AATATGAAATCTCAGAAAGCCATATATCAGAGTTGCCAGAAAGTGTCTGTAATGTATTTTGTTTCAGGAAAATGTGTTTTTCCAGTATTCTAAATATTTAACCATTGGCAAGAAAAACTATCATTTAACAATTTGTGAGAAAACTTCCTTTTCTTGGTTCTTGAATCCTTAGAAAATAAACTTTGTTTGTATTAGAGATTCTTTGAGAGAACACAAGAGAAAAAGAAACTATTTGCAAACAATATCTTAGAATAAGAAATATAAATTGGAATTTTGGCATTGTTGACTTCAGAAAGCAGTGCTTTGCGGGCTGGGATACAGAAAGTGCAGACAGACACAGCAAAGTAGCTCTCTTTAGTTTGCTTTGGGTTGGCAGAAAGCAGAAAAGACACCAGCTTCCTGAATCAAACTCCCCAGTTCTGAGCAGAGCAGAGGAGCAGATTTTACAAAATGGTTAATCAGGGGATTTTCTTTGTAGATTTTTTTTTTCAGCTCCATCAGTATCCTAATTATCCCTGTACTTACTTATGTCCTATGCCATCATCTTATAGGTTTGACTTGTCATTTGCTGATTTTGATACCGATCAGGAAGAAATTAAATAGATTTACATCTCTCCAGAAGTCCTCAGTAACCCTCACTTTCAATTATGCATAACATTTCTAACTAATTTAAGAGTATCTTTTGGATGAAATTCGTGACTGCAACCATTGAAGAATGATCTCCCCAACACTTGATTCTAATTAGTAACAGAACATGGCACTTTGAACTCAGACTTTGAACTCTATGACTCTGTACTAATGAGCTTAGTTGAGGCTGTCCCAAGGTATAAGTTGGTCACTAAGAAGGAAAAGTGAAGGAGGCAATACTTGTATTGCATAAATGTGGAAGGCAACTCTGCAAAGCCATGACTTCCTAACCTGTGGTTAGACTGCTAACCTGCCCCACAAAAATATATAGACTGGATTTGCTTTCTTTGTATGTTAGAGTATTTTTTAGAGGGTGGTCATTTGGCCTATTGTCTAAGATCCTTTTACATTCCCATTTAAGAGGACAGAATCATTTATTATTTGTACCTATCACTATAAATCTGTAATATAGTAGCTTCTCTACTGGAGAATATCTTGTCATTGCTTTCTCTGTGTACCCTGAACTATCTGTGCCTTTCAAGCATTTTTTTTAAAAAATGTTCTAGTTATGACTCTGAGTGTTTTTATTTATTATTGTATTAAAAAATAACTCTAAGACTTAGTTAAAAAAACATTATCTTACCCAGAGGATTTCTGAGGCTCAAGTATCTGGGAACCAGCTGTGCTGTGCTACATACCTATATCCCAGAGGCTTGGGAGGTTGAGGCAGGAGGATCATGAGTTCAAAGCCAGCCTCAGCAAAAGCAAGTCACTAAGCAACTCAGTGAGACCCCGTCTCTAAATAAAATACAAAATAGGGCTGGGGATGTGGCTCAGTGGTCAAGTGCCCCTGAGTTCAATCTCCAGTACCCTCCCCTCCAAAAAAGGAATGTGAGAACAGCTTAGCTGGATGTCTCTGGCAGATATGATATACCATCACCATTGCCAAATGGTTCCCACAGGCCTGCCCAGGTAAGATGTGGAGTAGATTGTGAATACCAGGCAGTGATCACTGGGGGTTATCATGGGGCTGGTTATGAGAACCAGCACCCAACTGGATAAAGTTGGTCTCTGAATACACTCTTCAGGAGATACTATTCCATTTGCATCATAGGAACCATAAATTACATAATCTTCCTGGGCCTCATTTTATTATCTGACAAGTGAGAAATTTGGATAAACTCACTGCCTCTTTCCCACTCTGAAATTCAATGATTCTAATTGTAGCAAGAGTGAATTTAGAATATATGGAAGAGTGGTGTCAAGAATTCTATGCACATTTCATCTTAAGAGTAAAATCAATCAAGATTGTTTTTATCCCACCTTGAGCTAGACTAAATGTCAGCCACGCGACCAGCACGCTAGCTTCATATTAGAGGTTCGAAACATAGAAATTAACTAGTGAGTTCAAATTAAAGACACATAACTCTCAATTTACCTTTTTCTTGCCCAGTTCAGAGACGGCTTCTCCCAGCTCTTGCCTCCAGCCACCTGATGCCGTAGCGAGGTTTACACAAGAGACCAGCAAGAGAGAGAGAAGCATGCCAGGGAGTGAGCTTTTATTGGGGAACAAAAAATTCAGGGGAAAATTCCATCCAATGAAGGTCGAGGGGGCAGCATTCCAAGGTCGGGGTCAGTGATTGGTTTTTTAGGTCAGTGGTCAGTCACACCCCCACACGGACAAGCCCTTGCACCTGGGGCAGTGTGGGGAAGGCTCTGACACAGTGTGTCTAAGCGCCTCACACCCAGCCAGAGAGGTAGCTCAAATCATGTGCAAGAACTGCTTCCCACATAAATCTACAATACAATAATGAGCAACAATATTCAGGGCTTTGCCCAATGTGTTTGGGATTTGACAATTTAGATAACACTCCATTATTTGATCTTGAGTTGGACACAATGTCTAATTAACTTTACTTTCATTTCTGCTCAATTCCAGTTGATGTCTTGAATCTGTAATTAAGTATTAGCTCTGATTATTTGGAAATTTAAGCTTCAAACAAAACCATCAAGGTGCAGCCTGGGCAGAGGTGGCTGGAAAGCTACCCTGCCCCCTCCCCTGTCACACTGTTCTCTGCCTCCTCCAGTCAGGGAGCAGTCTCACCTCTGAGGACTAAGCCAGATGTCACCCTGAGTTACTTGTGGATCAGTCATTAATACGACTTGGCCATTTTGAATTGTCATCTATAATATCATTGAATTGAAGCACTGAAAAAAAAAAAAAAGAAAAGAAAGAAAGAAAAACAGTGGATGAGTCCCGCCCCTGGGTCACCACTTCACAGAAGGAGTTCCTCCTTCTTATGAGTCAGCCTATCCCATTAGAGAAGGTTCTGGACCTCAAAGGTCTGTGGTCCTCAGCTGACCTTTGTCCCCCACCATCTCCCACCCAGCAGGTCTTCCTTTTCCCATCAGCAATTTATGTAGCCATGGAAGACTAAATCAAAACTTTCAAAAGTATAATAATTAATTGACCTGAATCTCAAGAAATACAAAATACAATGAAGTTGAATATCTGAACTGTTTAATTTCCTGGACTAACATTCAAAAGCCTGATATCTTAACTTTTTTCTTTTGCCAGGAATTGGCTTAGTATTTATCTTATTCAACCTGCCTCAGAAGTACTGATTGGTTGATTAGTTGATTGATTGATACCAGGGCTATTTTTTTTTTTTTGAGAGCTAAAATCTTTCAGTTTGCCCAAGGCTGGGCAAAAAGTAGGTATTTTATATATCACTTCAATAAAGTTCACCACAATCAACTTTAACAATAAACTTAGATACTCTATGAGAAGAAACAAAGGGAAATTTTAAAAAACCTTTCATAGTAAGTGATTTAAAGCTCAGACTTGAGGTTACCTGGATTAATTAACAAAGGTGGATTGGAAACATTAGTCCCACCCCTCCTGGAAGTAGCCCTCAAAGTCAGATTGTGTCTGAAATCATGGTGTCTTTTTTCTTTCCTTCCCAAATTTACTTCTACTTCCCCCCTTTTTTATGTTCCTTACAGTAGTGTCAATACATTAAAAATGCTGTTTTAGAGTTCTTTTTCAGATTAGCTGTTTGATGGAGGAAAAGATGCAAGACTAAGAAAGAGAAGGTGCAGTACTACTTCTTGCCAGCAGAGGGTGCACTCACCCTGACAGTCAGAGTGCACCAGCTCCCCCGGATTCCTCTATCAAATTCTGGCACAATTTTAGGGAGATTAAGTGTCTCAAATAGCATTTCATCCGTAACTCAGTTTTTCTTAAATATAGAAAACACCCTCCCACCCACCAAAAACTTAGTTAAAGCGTGTTAAGACATTGCAAGCTTCAGCCTCCACTTAGTATATAAACGTTTTAAAATTTCAGTTTCAAAAGAGAATCTATGATACTTGGATTGGACAACAGTAAGTAAATGTTGATTTTAAACGAGTGACTCAACTCCCTCAGCAATGCTGGTTCATCTTCAGAATTTGTCAGGCACCACATGTAAGATGGCACTTAACTAAATGGTATTTTGGAAGAAACATTTGGTCTTCAATCTACATAAAAAGGATGTTTCATTCGTCTGGTATGACCAAAGCTTTACCTCAAGCCCAGGCAGTAAGAGAACTACAAATCTACTTCTCCTAGCATATTGTACAATGTCTCCCTCTTGGAGTAAACAGTTATTGATGCATTCTGCATTCATTGAAACACAACTGATGTTCGGTGTTTAAAAAGAGAAAAAAGAAAAACATCTGCTATCAATTCCAGACTTCATTGCTTGATGCATCTGAAACATCACAAGTGGATATTTTCTCCAGTGATTCAAAGACCAAATCCTAATGTCTAGAGAAAATGCTGACTCATTCATGACTCAGTTGAAGGTTACAGGGAAGACTAAACATTTATTTAGAAGTTACAGTGTTTGTTTTTACAGAGATATGTTGCCACAGATTATTGACTCTGGAACGTTTGTTAATGCTTATAGTGCTGTACACGTCTCAGTCTGTTCTCAGGGCATCTTAGGAAGAGTTTCCTGTGCCACCAGATCCAGCCACCTTCAAGGGTGTCTCCACTCTGCCATACTGTGGCCCTCTCTTTTCCCTCATAATGTTCATGAACAATGTGCCTAGGACCCTGCCTTCTACAGCTGCAGGTCCTGTAGGAGTCCGTAACCTGGCTGATTGCCTTCCTCTCTCCTGGCTGACACCTGGTATGTTGTGGCTTGTTATCCCTCTCACACCTCAATGGGGGAGGATTTCGTCTCTCCAGAATTATAAAAACACATATACATTTATTTACAAGTGCATAAATATATAAATATGGCTATAATAGAAAAATAAATACCAATTTTCTCTGTCTCTTTTAAAAAACAATATATAGTCTGTCTGGGAATATTAGCTTCTGCCTAAACTGTAGGAGGTGGCGTTTCAAAAGACACATGCACCGATGGGCCAGGGGAGAGCTGCATCCCGGGTTCCCGTCCTGTGTAGGCCCCCGAAGGGTGCTGGGGGCACCAGTCTCCTCCACCCACTTGGCAGGAGTCAGGACTGTCCACCTCTTCAACTGGCACAAGGCCCAAGCAGCACGGGGTCCCTGGCAAGGAAAGAAAGTGGGAAACATTAAAATGCAGACTAACCAAGTGGTCCTGGGCCAGTCTACCTGTGGAGGGAGCTGGTCACACTGGCCCTAAAGGAGGGACAGAAAACTACAACCAAGACAAGGAATTTGTGTGCCCTGCAAGGACTCTCACTCATGTGGGGAGGGCCCCTTAAGCTATTCATGTGCCACCTGGCCTGGGACCTGGGAGTGTGGAGACTCTCAAGCTCTGAGCTCGCATACTGATCAAATCGGAGGAGCCCATGGAAGAAAGCCCTGATCTTTCCAGATTCAGGCTGTTGGCCCACCTTTTGGTATGGTGCAAACCTCCCCCTCACAATGCATTCCCCTCAGACTGACCTAACCCAGTTTTCATGGCACTGTGTCTAGCTCTGGGAGGTTACTTTCAAAATGTAATGTCCCAGAGACAGGGTCTAGGATCTGTGTCTGAAGGGACATGCACACCATGGAGGCTAAGAAAAAGTAGGCAATCCTCTAACCAGCCTGTGCCCTAACGAAGCACCCAAGGACTTCCAAGGAGGCGGCACAGAGGGAGAGTGGGACAGGGTGGCATGAGTGGCTCCAAGCCCCATGGAGAGAAAGTTCTATAGAAGCACGAAGAGTCAGGATGATGATGTTGGTAAGAATTTGGCTTAGTAACGATGCAGGCAGCTTATTCCTTAATTAAGAGACAAGACCCAACAAAGCAAGTGATTAGAGGTTCTTATGTGATGAGAGGCAAAAAGAATTTGTGAATGGCCTTGAAATGCAGAGACCAAACAGCTTCTTCCTCTGAACTGGAATGGTGTCCTTCCTCTCAGCCTCTGAGGACCACCGATGGCAAGACTGGTGTCAGGCTGGCCTAGTGTGCCCCACAGACCTCCCAGACCTTCAGCAGGGAAGCACAGAGTCCACCAGCCCCACTCCCTGGCCTTCCCTTCCAGCACCCGAGGAGAGCTCCTACCAAACTCTATTTTTAAGATTGTTGTCTCCCCTCCTCCAAGTCACTACTGGACAGGTCATCCCCAGCGTCTTCAGTTTCTCTACCCTGCCCAGCTTACCTGAGTGAAATGGAGGGTCCCACGCAGCTTCTAGGCCAGGACTCTCGGGTGCTCTCCTCATTGCTGCCTGGCCCGCAGTGGCAGGCTGCTTTTGGAGGTGGCAGCAGTCTTGGGGCTGGAGCAGCTGGTGAGTGGAGTCATCAGGCAGTGTGTACAGGAAAGAGCCCTCATCTGGGCTAGACTTGGGACCCCTGTAGTGCCCAAAACAGATGGGGGCAGTGAATCACGGGCAGAGTGGGCCTGGACCCTCCCCCATCCATTGGCAACTTCGTGTCTGAGGGGGTCAGAGCTGGTCAGAGCTCCGATGGGTAAGGACAGTGCTCCTTTGAGCATCACGAGGCGTCGCACTGTTATCCCACCGTTAGTTCTAGTCCTGTTCCATTTTATCTCGTGTGGGGCATGTGAATCATGTGTTTAGGACTGTGGGCAAATCCAGTTGTTTCTGGTCTACCCAGTAAGGATTCTGAAAAGAAGCAACCTACGCACCCCCAAAATGAAAGGGAATCATACCCACAAACACAAAATCAGACAACAGGGTAAGGGCCCTGCAGAGCAAAGCCGGCAGATTTGAGGAACCCTGAGTGAAGCACTTCGGGGCTCTGTGAGACTGACACTGGATTTGAGGAGCTAAAGAGAGAGCCTCTGGGGCTTGGAAATTAAAGAAAGGGCCAGGAGGGGTCTGGCTACCTGGTAATCTGGTGGCTCTGGGGGTCATATCCATTGCCAAGAAGGGTCTGCCTCAGCAGGCTGTTGGTGTCATCCTGCTGCTCAAAGGAAAGAACAAGGAAAAGATCAGGTCAAAGGATCAGGAAACTTACTGCTCACTTTTCAGGAGGATGAACTCTTGCTGATGAAAGGAAGCCTGGCCCAGCCGCCTGGCATGAGAGGCTAGAAGGGAGAAGCCCCCAAAGGCAGCTCAACCACACCCTCCTATCTCAGCCCGCCTACCCGCCCAGGGGCTATGTTACCTGCTGAAGCTCCCCTGGGCAGTGCTGCTGAGGTTTCATGCCTGGGTAGCCCACTGCAGCTGCAGGGCAGCCTCGATTCACATGTGTCCCATTGGTGCAGGCCCGTCCACTGATGCCACCTAGGTATGGCTGTCCACTGACTCGGTGGCCGGGGAGTCCTCCCAATGGTACCATAGTGTACTGGCAGGAGGAGGATAGAAGGGCACTTCGAGGAAAACCCAGGTCTGTTGTGTGTTCTGAAGAACAGAAGGACAGGTGTGCTTAGGCCAAGGAAGCCTCGGGCAGCCTGAAAAAGCCCCACTCCCTGCCAGGGTCCAACGATGCAGGTGGGGAGATAACACTGTCCAAGGGGTGGAGAATGTTTTCCCTCAGAACCTTCTTCCTGACTCCTATTTCTTCCTAACGTTTTTCTTATGCAGTGAGGAGGGGAGTGGGGAGAACAGGGGTAAAGTGTGGGGGGAAAGCAGTTGAAAAAGAGCATGAAGTGAGGGTAGGCAGCCACATGTGTCACCGTTTGAAACACATTAGCAGATGGAAGCAGGGGAAAGGGGAACGCTCAAGGTAGCTCCAGGTCCAGAACAGAGGCAGCAAATGGCTGCTGGGAAGAGGCAGGGGCAGTTGGCAAACGTGAAATGAGGTCAGAGAGGCAGCTTTGGCATCAAAGAGGATGGAACCAGGTAAGCACTGAGCTGGAGACACCAAGAGGGCCGACCAATGTCTGCCTCTTCACACTCTCTCAGTGAAGGATCTAGGGGGCATGTGCCCAGTCTGGGGCATTCTCTGGCTCTGGGAGACCTCCAGGGGCCCCTGGAGCTCAAGCTGCCTATGGATGTGGAGTGGGGCACTACTGGTCTTGAACTGGGCAGACGCCCTCTGGGAGGACTGGCAGGCCCAGGCTCCCTCTCCAGGCTCCTGATGTCACTCACTTTGCTTAGACCAGGCTCTCCACAGGCAGAAGGGGATGAAGGTGACGATGAGGAGGACAATGGAGCCCAGGACGACCCCGACAATCAGATAGGGCAGATCGCTGGCTCGTGCCACCATAGCCCCGGTGCCCACTGGCCGCTCTATGGTTTCCAGGGGTGGTGGTTGTGGTGCGGCCAGAGTTGGGGGTGGGAGTCTCCCCGGCAGACCCGAGGACTTCCGAGCTGCAATGGTGGACAAAACTCATGTCAGCATCTATTTCTTTGACATTTCCCTCCCAAGTAAATTGAAAAAGAAAATACCCCAATTCCACGGGTATAGGTAACGGGATGAAACTCAACATAGGGCCTCACAATTCCTTATTTTGAATTCCTTATTTAAATCATGTCCATACTCTGCATGAAATTGGTATCCAATGTGAAATTTGGTGGTGTTGAGGAGGCCCGAACCTTATATTTCAAAATACATTTGTGAGACCGGCACTGGGTCCGACTGAGCAGAAGTGGCTTTGTTTTTTTAAAAGAATAACTGGAGACCTTTTGGGAGAAAATATTAACAACTCACAAAACCAGCAAAAGAATTGGGAGTGGAAGAATTTAAACACAAATTTACTGTTCTGAGTGGATGAAGGAATGTGACATAGGAGGCTTTCACTCAGGATGCAGAGCATTTGGGGACTTGATGAGACAAAGAGTAATGGGGAAATGCCAATTCAAAGGTGGAAAGTCAAGGTCGTAAGTTTCCCATGTGGGTTTTGCTATTATAGTGTTTCTGACATGATTCACTCTTTCACAAATCTCTCCTCCCTTGACTTCCTGGAGCCTCCAGCAAGTGATATTCCACATTTTCCTGCCTCTTCCTTCTGCTTCCTCAGACCTGGGGAACTCTCCCTGGCTCCTCTTGGTCCACTGCCTCTGTGTGTTCTCTTCTAGTCCCACCATTTCCACCTATATCCTAAACCCTCCCATATCAATGTCCCCATGGGACCCCTGCCCCAGGCAGTAGACTTTCCACTTGAGAATCAGATACTCAGTCAATCTTCAAGAGGTTTTACATTGTCCTATCTCATGAAAACTGTTTCTCTGTTTACCTCCCTCATTTCAATAAAGGGCAATAACACCTGAAGCTCTTTTGAGTTAAAACCTCAAAGTTTACTTTTAGCTCTTTTCTGTCTCCCAGCCCAGCATGCAATCAGTCCTGGTCCTGCCCACACCTCCTCAGAAAAGTGGTCAAATGATTCTCATGTCCTTCATTTCTGGGCCCCAGTTCTCTCCCAGCTGTCTACCCCTTGCAGGGTTACTGGTGGCCCTTCTCGGCAAACAGATCCAACAACGACCCTCCCTCACTCCAGAGCCTCAAGAGGTTCCCATTGCCGACCCGGAGCTCAGCCTCAGGTCCTCAGGACCTGCTGCCTGCCATTGTCTCTGGCCTCTTCTCTGAGCTTCTCTCTCTCATCCTCCCACTGGATGCTGCAGCCATTTGGGATACTTTCAGGCTTGACCTATCCCCAGGCTACTCTCTCCTCATTTTAGCCCAGAAGACCAGCATGAAGGCTTGGTGAGCCTCTGTTCTTTCCCTGGGGGCCTCTCTGTGCCACCTGATGCAGGATTTGGCACTTTGCATGTATCTGCCACTCCTGTCCCTGAACCTGGGGGAAGAGGGCAGGACTGTACACTGTAGGTCCTCAGCAGGTGTTTGAAAGCAATGCAAAGTAGGAAAAAGAATGTTGATGTCTCAAAGACGGAAAAAACATGTTTTTATCTCCACTTCTATTCGTTTGTGATCTTATCCTGATTATGTCTTTTGCAATATAACTGCTTAATCTCACCTTCAGTATTTAAAAAATGGAGATAATGTTATATACCCGACGGACCAATGTGCAGATATTAACAAGTTGCTATTTGAATATGTTTAACATGTTTTATGGTGAGAAAGAACCCAGGCTGGTAGTTAGATGGACCTGTTCCAGAGTCACTGACTGGCCACATGATCTTGGCCAATGTATGCAGTTTCCTGAGGCTCAGTTTCTTCCTCATCTCATGAGGTTTTAGTTTCTCAATTAAATAAATCAACCAATATAAGTACCGCATATCATGGCAGTAATCAAGTAATTATAAAAAGTTCCCAACTTAACAATGAGTTTATGGATAATTCCAAAGTTTTCTGAAATCATCCTGAGGGTGATTCACTTATCCTTAACACGAGGCTCAAGCAAACAAGCAGAAGGGTGAAAATGAAGAGGTGTAGGGTATTTGGAAAATAAGGAGTCTTCTTGAGAAAGAGACACCCAGCATGGTGTGGACAGTGACTGTGCCCTACCCTGCTGGAAGTAGCACAGAGGGAGAGGAGAACCCAAGGAGAATCACCTTTGGTCTCACAGATCATCACGTTGCTGAACTCACTCTCCCCGCCTTCATTGAAGCACTGCATCTTAATGTCGTAGGAGGTCTCTGGCTGCAAGTGGCTGATAGAGTGCCAGTACCTATCACCTGGGAAAGACAGGAAGAAAATTGTGCAGGATGATGTTACTGAAGATCTGACTTTGCCCAGATCTCATGGTCGGACTCAAGGCTGAACGTCTGGGGCTGGTGCCAATGAGATGGTAGAGACACACAGGAGGGAATGTCCCAGGGGTCCGCCTGCATTCCCATTGTCTATCATTATGGGAAGGGAGCGTGTGGGCTTTTTAACTGAACAGATCTGTGTGTATCCTGACTCTGTGGCACGGAGCACAGATGTTTTGTACTATGCCAGACCCAGGTTTTATGCTTTACCAGGTGTCACCAACACCAGACCCCTTGCTGGTAGACGAAACCACACCAAGTGCTTCTCACCTTCCACCATGTCCTTCTTGTAGTCACTGTCATTGTCACTGTCTGTGGGTCGATAGTAGATATAAAAGCCATGGATTGGGGTGTTGTTGTTACTTGCTGGGATATACTACAGGAAATGGAGAAGAGACATGTTGACAGTGGAGCAGAGACCTCGTCATCAGAGCAAAACGGCTGGGGTGTGGAAGTGCTACCCCAGTCTAGAGTGTGAACTGCACTGGGGGCCCCTGGCGAACATTCCTGATGCAGTCCCTGGGGTTCTCTGAAGAAGGCTGTGGAGATCACACATTATTTTATTTTGCCTAGAGGTCCCCAAGCTTCTGGAAACAGATTTCTTCAAAGACTTCAGTCCCTCCTGAGCCTCCCTGGGCAGACAAGGGTCATTATCTCTGGTTAAAAAGAGACCCTAATAATTGTGCTGGGGTTCTCTGTGGTGTCAGGAAAAGAGCAGGAAGGAGGGTGGGTGGAACCAGCTTGGGGCATCTACTGGGTCAAGGCACCAGACCCAACAGGAGACCCCTAATAGCAGCTGCCAAGAGCCTCCCAAATTCCACCAATCAGGCTTTCTGGTGCACTGTGGGGAGCCAGTTCTCAGGCATTAGGTGGAGGGACACATAGGGGAGGTGTCTTAGACAGGGGCTAAGGCCGCAGAGGGACCATCTACCAAGTTCCTACCCGACAGTAGCTTCTGCCCCTTCTTCCCATGGCTGTCCATGGCAAGGTCACTTACCATCCACTTGAGCATGATGGTGGTCTCATTGACAGCGTCCGTGAAGGTGATGTAAGGACCTGCCACTGGCCTCTCATACACGCGGCCACCATAGCCTGACACCACGTAGGGCCGGGAGGGGGCACTGGGCTCGCTCTCCCCGAGCATGTTCAGAGCTCGGACTCGGAACTTGTAAGAGGTGCCTGGTGAGAGAGACCCATGGGAACTCAGGAAAGGCCCTTTCATTCCCCCACAGCCCAACAGGGCCCAGCCTCGAGGGATGTTTTGGGCAGCCCACCCCAAGAGCAAGTCCCCAAAGGACTCACAAGAATGCCCATCCTCATCAGAGAGGAATCACACAGGAAATGGCTCTGGACTCTTGCAGAGAGAGAGAAGGAGGGTCTTTTAGGACCCAGGCAGAACCATAAACTATCTATATGGGCATGCTGGTGGCTGGAGGACCGAGCAGCAAGCCTCCCAGGCTCATTTTCTTCTTCAGTGTGGCCCAGGGCAGCCCAGGGATTGGGCAGGAGAGTGGCCAGGCCCCTACCTTTCTCTAAGCCTGTGATTTCCACCGAGAGCCGTGAGGGAGGGATGGCATTAGTGGCCAGGATCCAGTCTCCCACTTTCTTTAGCTTCTTGTACTCCACACGGAAGGACTGGATTGGGAAGCCACCATTCCCACGGGGAATCCAGGTCACATACACGGAGGTCTCAGAGGCCATGGAGATAGTGGGCCTGTCTGGAGCTTCTGGGGCTATGAAGATCATGCCCAGGGAGGGAGGGGGGAAGGAAAAGGAAGAGGACACTGTGAGACAACCTTGTTTTCTGATTGGACTGGCCTGTCTCAACAGGACCTGCCCCTCCCCTCAGCATTCCACCCACCATGAGGTCCTCCTGCGCAGGAGAAGCCTCACACCAAGACCCCTTCAGCTACTCATGCCAGAGTGCGAAGGGCCAAGGGCCAGTTACTGTCCTCGGCACCCCCCCCTCACTCCCCCGCTGCTCTCTGGACCCACAGCGTAATTGTGACTCCAGCTTTTAATTTGAAAAGCTTCAATCTGTATTTTCTCATTATGGTCAATAGGGGAAATGCCAAGAAAATGTCTTAAAGACTTCTGGATCTTCAGAACCAAAACCTCATTTGACCTGCAGCAACAGGCACAACAGGGTGGTCCAGTTTTCACTATTCCTCACCCCTCCCCACCCGCTGATCCCAACTGCTGGGGGCTTACGGGAAAGGCGGCCATGATCTGGCTGGCTGCTGCTCTGGGGACCGGCTCCAGGGTCATCTCTCTGGATCTGTTGCTCCTTGCTGGCTATGATCTCAGGTTTGGGACGCCGCCCTGGGTGGAAATAGGTTGAGATCAGCAAGGGGCACAGCATGCATTAGACCTTCCCACAGAGTCCTTTTTGTCTGAGACTCTGGTAAGGGCTGCGACAAGGTGAGGCAAGTAAGAACACAGGACGCTGACAGTGAGGTCAGATGGCAGTGCTGCCTGATACTGTCATGGTGTGCCACCAACTCCATGACAAAGAGGGCCAAGAGATGCCAAAGAGGCTGGCTGGTCATTCTGATGAGGCGAGAAACCTCAGCCTGGGAACCCAAGCCACAGGGAGACAGCAGTGGAGAAGAAGGACAGCGCACTCAGGGACTGGGTGGGGCAAGGTGGGCAGGATTTCCCACCCAGGCCTGGTACAACTTGCTTGGCTGTGGAAACCCCAAGCTGTGCCCATGTTGACCTTACCAGTTCGGAAGGTGACCATTGCCGTCTGGCCCTCGCCAGCACAGTTGTAAGCTGCCATCTCCACTTCGTACAAGCTCCCCGGGTCGAGCCTGGTGAGGGTCAGGCGGTGCTGGCTGGCTGGAATGCCAGAGATGGTCCAGTCATCAGAGGAGTTGGTGACCTGCTGGAGAAGGTGGTTGGTGTAAGGACCAGCATCTCCCCCTGGTGCTACAGGTGGCTGTGGTTTGTAAGCACAGTAGACTAACAGGTGTAGGTCAGGAGGAGGGGATAGAGGACCAATTTAGGGGCAGAGGGCACTGCAGAGCTCAGACTGGCCATTAACCTCACTGGGGTGCTCAGGTTGGGCTTCCTGGTCTCCCCATCTAATGATACCATCAAGAGAAGCTCAGTGTGGCAGATCTGGAGGCTGTACTGAAACTACAGAGGGTCCTTCCAAAGACCTCCCAGCTATACTTCCCAAACCCTCATGGCTGACTTTTCCTTGCTGTGTCTGAACCAAACCTCGCTCCTCCAGTCTCTACTCTAGTGAGACAGTAGTGAGAATAATGACAAGAGCAGTGGCAGTGGTCAGACAGCAGCATGTCCTGGGCACTCACTATGTGCAAAGCACAGACTTAGGGGTTATACACACTACCTCATCTGCCCTCACAAGGCCCAAGTGATGGCATTGACACTGCTCCCAGTCACAAGAGGAAAGACCAAGCTCAAAGAGGAGGGATTTGCTCAAGGCTGCATGGCTGGTGAGCACAGAAACCCTGATCTGACTCCAAACCATAGCCCATACAGTGACCTGTCCTAGAATGAGGAGCCTGGGAGCACAGAGCCCTGAGTTCAAGTCCGGATTGCGTAACTCTAAGCAAGTTCCCTGGCTCTCTGAGCTCTAAAATCAGGCAAAGAAAATCTCTCAGGTGACTCTGACGATGACTTACGTAAAGCTCCTAGCATTGAGGCTGACACTGAGCCTCCCAGCAAGTGTGGGCCCCCACCCCTCCCCACATCTTTGGCCAGGTGAGGGTTCTAACATTATAATCTTTTCCTCTCCTCAGTCCTTGCTTAGAACGTAAAAGCTACAGATAAATTGCAAATATTATCTGTGAATTTTTAGTGACTAACTCTCTAAAGCTAAAGAAAAAAATAAGAGGGTTCCAGGCCCCCAACAGCTGACTATGAGAAACTACTTCATGTCATCTGCCAACTTCAAGGACAAGCACTTAAGGGCCAGTTTTGCATCTCTGTTGGAACCTGAAGTCGAGGTTTGCTGAAGGCAGAGAACAGCTGGTGAGGAAAACTCCTATTCCCAAGCAGAATATTCCAAAGCTGAACAAAACCGACCATTCAAGGGACAGGGATGGTCTAGGCTCATTAATGTCAGGCTTCCAGGATTCGTTCCAAAGGGAGAAGATTTTACAAACTGAGAATCCCCAGTGATGCTGGAAACCCAAACACAGTAGCCCGGGTCTGCAGATGTACCAGGAAGGAAAACTTGCTTTGTGCAAGTGAAAAAGTGAAACTTAGCTGAATGATTCGCAATCCCCCGAAAGAACCGGGACAAAAAAAACATAACTTAAACTCTAACTTTTGATTTCAAATTTCTTTCTTGAGTGATGATGTTTAAGATATGCGAGTTCCATAAGCAGGATTGGCTTTCAAGGCATAATTTCTGCCTTGGCAACATCCACCTAACAGCTCCAAGCGCCCCACAGGCCGGAGCCTAATAGAAGCCAGACCCAGCAGGAACCCTGTCCGGACTCTCGCTTCCCTGCCTCCCCCACTCTCCCCTGCCCTCCCGGCGCTGGCCTTGCACTTCCACTGGGCATAGAAATGAAAATAAGAAATGCTAGGGTAATTAGTCACTGTCACACACACTGAGAGGGTGAATGCGGCCTCAGCCTGGCATTTCCGGATCGCCACGGCTCGGCCTTTGCCAGCCTGCCTCTTGTGGGAGGCAGTTTCGTGGCCACCTATTGGCCTGAAAAATATTATTCTTGCTCTCATGCTGGTTTTTGTCTCTTGGGGGCCTTGGGCATTTGGCCTGCCCTGATCTTTGTCTACAACTCGAGATGGAGGTGTCCAGTTACAGGGGGAAGTGAGGATGGAGACCAGCCCTGCCCTGGAACATGTGCCGAACAAGGCTGCTTCTTGTTCCAAGCTCATTCACCCCCCTTTGCTGGCTGAGGGTTGATGAGGGTCCGCCCCGCCCAGACCCCTGCACAGGAGGCAGCACAGGGACAACAGGGGCCACTGGGCCGTATGAGGGTTTCTGACCCCTGTCTCTGTGGACGTAAAGCTGCTTGCATTGAGCCTGACACTGAGCCTCCCAGCAAGTGTGGGCCCCTGCCCCTCCCCAGGTCTTCCAGGAGAGTACGTGAAGGAAAAGAAAAGGACAAACTGCAAGAGCCAGTGGGGTTCGCAGCAGGGAAATGGCTTCTGGAGGGTTACTGCCTTCTGCCATGCAGGGTGGAGTTTATTTTCTTGTTTGTTTTTTGAAAAGGAAAAAGTGGATTGAGACCTTCAGTTCCATGTTATGGATTCCTATGTTTTCTACCAAGTGCACACGGCACTTTTATAAGCAAACACAACATACATGTATAATAAAATCCAGCAGTTATAATGCCAATAAAAACTTTAAAAAATCTGTTTAAGAACAATCAACTTCTATCACATGGACTTAGAAAAATCACACATACATGGGGTGAACAGAAACATCTCCAGGATATTTTCTTATAGGGCACCGCATGTCCTCTTCCCTGCATAGCCATGAAGTGTGGAAGCCCTGTCCTGCTTCGCAGGACAGCATCCAGGAGCATGGGGTTGGCCCAGTTCTGTCACGCAGCCTGTCACAGACCAAGACTCCCTCCCTGACAGCTCCCCAGCATCCCCCAGACAGACTTCCTCTGTCAAGGAGAAATGGCTGAGGTCTGAACAACACCATGTGCTTGCAGCTCAAATGCCTGTTTGTCAGCCAGAGCCACGATGAATTCTGAGAACTGAGGGGTGTTTTCTAGCCCAGAGAAAATACCAGTTTGCAAATATTTGTTTTCCTGGCTTTAGAGCTAGCTTGCCATGCTAGAGTTCCTGCAGGTATGTGCCTAGCGGAGCTTACTTTGGTTAAAAAACAAAACAAAATCAATAGCAAATGACAGAGGAAGGAGGGGAGGATGGTGATGGTAACTAGGAGCCTGCTAACTGTCACCTCCAGGACTGGAAGTTGGCAATAGTTTCTGGGAAATAAATACAGAGCTCAGACAGAAGGGCCTACGCCTGGCCCCTTCCTGGGCATCTCAGGGTGCCACCTGCCCATATCACGGCCAGCTCTCTTGGCAACAGAAGGGATGGGCAAACGAGGAGACAGAGGACATTATCAACAGTGGGGAGTAGGGGACCCAGGGGAGACGGAGGCACGAGGCCAGGGACATACCTTGCGGTGTTTCACCACATAGTAGAGGATGGGTGCCCAGCTGCTGCCCTCGTGCCGAGGCCGCCACACCAGCTCATATGAGTCTGTCTTGGAGGTCCGGGGCGAGCTCAGGATGATGGGGGCCTCGGCAGGAACCACTGACCTCTTCTCTCCTGGGCACTGCAGAGAAGCAGGCTGCACTGATGTTGGGGGCCTGAGGAGAGCCGGTAGTCCCCTCAGCATCTGGTCAGGGCTGCCAGGTCTGGAGGGTAGTGCAGCGGGTGTGGCAGTGGCTGGTTTATCATCCTTCCAGGGTCTCAGGGTCGTGCCTGGGGACCAAGCAGGAAAGAGGAACAAAGAGAGAGACAGTGTGTGTGTTAGTGCCCCTGGTTACCTTCCAGGGAGAAAACTGAGAACAAAGTCAGAAAGAAGACCTGAGGCCACCATCAGCCCACTATGTGACATATAGACAGGCTCTGTGGAAGAGAGGGCCAGTGTCCGTGCCCTGCCATGTCCCACTACCTGGTCCAGGCCTCTTGCTGCAGCTTGGGGCTACAGACAAGCATCTCTGCAACCTGCTGACTCCCAGTGTCCTCAGGAGGTGCGTCTTGAGAGAACAATCTCAATTTGCTCCTGAGACATGGAAACCCTGCACCTTCCTTCTCTGGTCTAGCTGGGGGGTGGGAACATGTCCCTTCCCTGTGGGATTATTATTATTATTGTTATTTGTGTGTGTGTGTGTTTCTGGTGATGGAACTCAGGGCCTCATACTTGACAGGCAAGTGCTCTACCACTGAGCTACACCCCAACCCTTCACCATAGGATCTTAACACCAACACAGACTGGGCCTTTTCTTTCTCCACTGAGGTGACCTGGAGACTAGAGACATGAAGGAAATGGAATGCCCTCTGAGAATCTGGGAGCTAAGAGCCAAAACAATTCCTTCCAGAAACTTCCACAGACTCTGCCAGCACCAGCCTTCATCGCACCTGATCTTTACCACCATAGGAAAGTGGCACTTGATAATGTTCACAAAGGATTGTTTTATTTATTTATTTTTATTTAACTTTTTAAAATTTTAGTGCATTATAGTATACATAATATATATACATAATAGTGAGATTCATTTTGACATATTCATAAATGCATACACTACAGTTATTTTTTTCCATTTCAGTCCCCAGTAACATCTTCTTTCCTCTTCTCCTCCCTTTTCTGATCCCCTTCCTCTACTCTATTGGCCTTTTATTTATTTATTTATTGGTGCATTATAGTTATGTATAAAATTAGAATGGAATGTGATTCATTCATACACAGATATAGCAAAGTTTGGTCAATTTTATTTTGTTTTTTAAATTGTTTCCTTAGTAAGTTTCATCTCTTTCATAGGAATGTTTTTGAAGGTGGGTGTTTGTCATGTTGCTCTGAGTCCCCCACGTTATCTAGCCGGTGCTGACATAGTAACTGCCTAGCCCCTGGAGTCATCAGTTGGTAGGAATGAAGCTGAGGAGAGACCTGCTTTTCTTTATTTCCATGGAACCTTAAGATCCCACAGATTCTGCAAGCTGATAAATGCACTTTGACTTATTAATAAGTTAAAGTAAATTTGAATTGACAACTGAAAGCCTTCTTCATTTAGTTCAAATGCTGGCTTTCTAAGTTGGACTTCATTTGAGAAAATGGTTGTGAGTGCGTTTAGCTGGAATCTCAGAGCCTTGGGTTGCACTCACCTGGCCTGGAGGTCCTCAGCTGGACCACGGCATGGGCACTCCCAACTTCATTCTCAGCCATGCACTGGTAGACACCTTCATCCTCAGGCCCCACACTGACCACACGCAGGGCCTTGCGGGACAACCGAAGGCGCTGGCTGGAGGTGAGGGGGACGGCGTTCCTTAGCCACAGCACGGAGGGCGGGGGGTTCCCGCGCACCTCACAGGTGAGCTTAGCACTCTGGCCCCATGGGATGACCAGCTGGGACAGCTCCACAGTGACCTCAGGTGGTTCTGCAGGAAAATAAAAGCAGGTGTGGGTAGGGCTGCATCTTCTTTAGGGCCAGACAGCCTGGAAGAGGATGTGGCCGAGGGGCTGCCTTCTTCCCCAGGACTTTGATTTTTCCTAATGGGTAGGAGTAAGGGAAGGAAAGATCCACTTCTCCTCCATCAAGTCACAACAGGAAAGGGACTAAAGAAGGTCCAGATCAGTGGGCCCTTGCCCCAGCATGGAGAATCTCCAGCTGTGGTACACCTCCACCACTCACTCAACTGTGGCCTTTCAAAGACTAACTCTCTGACCTGGAGTCATCTGCTTCTAGAAAGACCACACAGACCAGAGAGAAGGTCAAGGCCTAATGAGGCACTTACCAAATACCTGGACGTTGTAGAGAATGACGGCTGCGCCCGGCTCCCCCACCCCATTGCTGGCCATGCAGCGGTAGGTGCCCGAGTCCTCCTCACTGGTGGTGTCGATGAGCAGGTTACCCAGCAGGAAGCGCGTCTTGTTGTAACCAGCGACACTGGACCCGTCCTTGGCCCAGGTGACTCGAGGGGGTGGGATCCCGCTAGCCACACACTCCAGAATGAGGCTCTGGCCTTTAGTGACAATGACAGTCTGGGCCTCCAGGGGGTAGATAATTCGGGCAGCCTCAGCAGTGGAGCCTGGAGGAGCAAGGAGGGGAAGAACATAGAATGTGTGAGACCAGCGCTTCCTGCAGATAGTCACCTCCAGCCTGCCTGGGGGGGGGGGGGGGGCTGGCCCCAGGAGAGCCCCAGGGAGCATGGATTTGGATCAAATGGCCCTTCAGAGACTTATTACCTATAACCTATCTATGTAAGGCAGGGCAGACTATGTAATTCCTTATTAGAAACAAGGACTTCCTTCTGCAGAGAACACAACTGATATGGTAACACTAGGTGTTGACAAAGACAGACAAAGGCGAGGAGAGTGAAATGATTTAAATAGTGGGAGAAATTTTTCCTGCTTGACCTTAGTCAGCGCACCCTGGGTCTCTTCCCTAAGTGCCCTTGCACTGTGAGCATCCCACTGAGCCCAAGGGGACCCACTGTTTAAGAATACACATTTTTCATATAGCAAGGTCCCCAAGTGCAAATCAACGACTTTGTCCAGTACTCAGTGAAGAAGCAACGATGTTTTTCAGTACCTGGGGAGAAGCTGCCCAGAACTTACTGGAAGGTGTGTTGCTTTCCAATGCCCTGCCTTCCTGGGGGACCTGGAGCTTATGGACTCTGTGATTTTGCTTTATTGTCAATCAGGGGCAGATCTAGGTTTCAGAAACCTAAAACTTCTGCAGTTTGGGAGATCTTTTTTAAGAAAAAAAATATAAAATTACAGATAAAAAATTAGGATAAAATGTAGCTTCAATAGTTTCAGGGAAAATCCTTCTCAGGTGCTGACTCTACAGACTAGCTCTAGCTGGGTGCGGTGGAGCACACCAGTAATCCCAGTGGCTTGGGAGGCTGAGGCAGGAGGATGGAGAGTTCAAAGCCAGCCTCAGCAACTGAATGAGGTCCTAAGCAACTCAGTGAGACCCTGTCCCTGAATAAAATATAAAAAAGGGCTGGGGATGTGGCTCAGTGGTTTAGTGCCCCTGGATTTAATCCCTGGTACTAAAAAAAAAAAAAAAAAAAAGCTACCTTCATGTGTGATGTCACTTCACTGAGTCTCTGAAACCCTAGAGAAGCACTCAGAAGAGGTAGCTGTTTTTTCACTTTAATGGAGGTACTGGGCAGACGGAGGCTCTGGGCACAACCCAGCATTGCAGAGCAGAAGGACAGGCCTGGGAGAACACTAGGTGGGCAAAGCTGGTGTGCAAACACTGTGTCAGCTGCTGAGCACCACCACCTTCCTGGCACACACATCCTAGTTGATCTCACTTGCGTAGCAACAGTGAAGGAAACTTGTCAATAGATGTCAGGAAGAAGATGTCCCTCACAGTGTTCCAATGTGACCAACAAGACCTCCACCTGCCTGAACAAGGGCCCTGGGTAGGGAGGGAAAGGCACTGGGGCTGGCCAGAGACAAAAGGACCCTTGTTGGGTGCTGGGTGTCCCACTGGCCTTGTGGCCATCCCTCCACCCACAAGCACACAAAACTGGAGCTGGACTATGATGCCCCCAATTTCCGACATCCCTTCCCAGCTTTGCCGGTCCCTCCATCAGTGATACTCCCCCACCCCAGTAGGTGAGCCTGGCCCTTACGGCGCACACGCAGCCTGTCACTGGAGCCAGAGGTTTTCACTTCCTGGGTCACGGGGTTGTAGGCAGCGCACTTGTACATGCCCTCATCCTCCTGGCTGGCGTTGACAATCTGGAGGTTCCCTGATGGCATGATCAGGTAGTTGTCTGTAGAAATGGCAAGGGAAGGGGGAGATGGGATGAGTTTGGGCCCAGAAGATGACAATCTGCAGCTCCCGAAGAGTGAGGAGTACAGAGTGGGGGACACAAGCCCAAGCCTAAGATGCATGCACCATAAGACCTTGCACCAAGAGGGACAGAAATGCCAGGGTGAGAAGCTCACTGACCAGCTAATGGCTGGCTGGCTGCCTCCCAGTTAGGGAGCATCTGTAGAAGAGTGTTCTATACTTTCAAGGGAGTTGGGGGAGAATAGAAAGAATACGGGGGTTGGAGTTGGCCAGACCCGGGCTCAGGCTCTGATCTGCTGGATACTAACCATGTGATCTTGAACAAGTTAATCACTCTCTCAGATCCTGTTTGCTCTTTTGTAAAAAGGCCTAATGCACACACCTCACAGCCACTGTTAAGAATTAAAGGGCCCATGCTGCACACATGGGAGAGATACGGTAATTTCTGCAAGCCACCAAGAAGGAGGGAATTGACTTTGGAACTTTGCAGGAGTCTCTGTCATGGTCACTGCTCTGAGCTACCTCACTATTGAATTTCTGCTGTTGGAGAGGAATATGCAAACTCTCAACCACTGCCCTCCCCATTGCTGCACATTGCTGGTTTGATAGGCTTTGTCTGCTCCTGTTCCTGGGGGGCCATGGGGTGGGCCTGGGCATGTGTTCAGGTTCTTTAGGCAGGAGGCAGATTCACAGCTTCTGGTCAGCTCAGCAACTGGGTGGCATTCATCTTCCTGGCAGGCAGATCACTGGCCATCATCTCTGATCTTTGTCTTGGTGGCCTCTCTGGGGAGTCATGGTGTCACCAAGCCTGGTGCCTGCCTGCTGCTGGGCCACCCAGGTGTGAGCTTAGGCAAGTGCCAGATGGAATGGCACCTCCCCTAGGGACTGTTGCCAAGCCTCAGCTGGGGACATAGGGATTAATACTCTTCTCCTCTCAGTCTCCAGTTACTTGTAAGTAGTAGGATTAGGGTTTCTAACCTATTTCAAAAATAGCTTTCTACGTTTTCTATAATGAACATATATTCCTTTTATAACCAGAAAATCTATAGAGCACTATAAAAGGTGCATACTTTGAGCAGGGTCACATCAAGTGGGGTTGACTTGGCCTCCCGGGCAGGGTTGTTGTAGGAAGAAATGACCTTGTCTCGCCTCTCTGCTGGCACTTTCTGAGCATCTTGTCTATTAGGGTTTATGAAGTTGAACTGTGTGGCCCTCATCACTGCATGGGTGTTCAAAGGGTCGCCTGCCCTGAACCTGCTGTCACGCCCACTGTGGCCTGAGGTGTGGCTGCCAGGACAGCACAGTACTGGGTAAATGGGAGAGGAATGCCCATTCCACTGAGGAGGTTGCTGTATGGGGAGCACTCAATTTGTTAGGTGGCCTTTCTGTGTGCGTCCATGGCAAGGGGCTCACACAGCTAGGCATCTGGAACAGTGTGCTAAGTGTCCTGATCAAATGGCAGCAGCTTGGAAAAATCTTCCAAGGCCTCAAAGGATGAAGAAATTCTCCATGACAGGAAGAGGCCTTCCATAAGGAAAGCCACCCCTGTGGGCCCCACAGGGCTAAACATCAAGACAGAAGACAGCTGGCCAGCCTGGTCATGGGCCTTGGGAGGTGGCAGCAGCTGACACAGTTTGGTTGGGTAGGGAGGGTTCCGAGGAGGACAGATCTCCTTTTGGCCTTGCCTCTGAGCTCTGGCTCATTTGCTCACCTCTGGAGGCCTCTAGCCACTCTTGCTTGACACTGTACCGGACCTGGGCTTTTGGGTGGCTCTCAGGCAGGTGGCAGGCAATGACTGCGGTGTTCCCCTCGTCCACTTCAATCACATGCTGCACATCTAACTTGAAGTCCTGGAGATCTGTGGAGAGAAGGGAAGGTGCTGGTTAGACCTCAACAGAGGAAAACGATAGGGTGGCTGGTGTTAGTCACAAACAACAGTGCAGAACTGCAGGCGGGTCTTGGGGGCAGGGTGCTGAATCCTTTCTGAGCATCTTGTCTATCAGGGTTTATAAGGATGGACGGTTGTGGCCCTCATCACAATGGGCGTTCAACTTGGTACACATATAAGACATGAGCTGGGGAAGTATAAGGAATTATATTAGGAAGTGCCTCCAACAGACTGAGCTCTTCTGTAACACTAGGACTTGGTGGTGAGTTGGCCCTGTTCTTCTGCACTGGACATGGGTATAAATGTCAAGGCATAAATGTCTGAGCACAGCTGTCAGGAGGCTCAGCCAATGGCGATGGAAGAACATGATGAAAGAGAATGTTGAAGCCTTTTCTCCAGTTCAGTCGAGAGCAGCTTCCCAGGTTCTTCTTCTCAGATATCCATAGTGAAGAGCGACAGGCCCAAGATTTCCATTTGACCGCCAACCATGGTTATAGCCAGAAGGCCGATTCCTGCTCCCAGGAGCTACACTCCATGTCATGACTAATCCTTCTTAGGGCTGTGGCTGGGACTCTGTGGATGCCCTAGGGTTCCCCTCAGCAAAAAAGGGATCTCCCAGGACAGTAGGCAACACCCCAGCATGGCTTAAGGGCAGTGGCATGTGGGGGAACCCAGGGTCCTGACAGGAGGCTGCTGCCTCTGGCAGCCCCATGGCCATCTCTTCTGTCTTGGCTCTGTGGGAGGAAGACTAAGCGCTAAAATGGGAAAGGATGGAGATTCATCTGGAACAAGGGCAGGATGTTTCCCAAACAATCCGAAAGTCCAAAAACAGATCTCTCTTTGTATGAGCCAAATGACTGATGTTGCTGGACAAAACAGGGGCCATTTGTACAACAAAACCACACTCCAAATTGGAAATTTGGTTTTCAGGAATGGAGCTGAATTTGTTTTAAAAGAGGAAACAAAACTAATGGAGTATAAAGTAGGAGAGATGAAAATCATTTATCTAGACTTTCTTCATCATGGTCCTCAGAGAGCCCTGGAAGTATCTCTCAGAATGCTGACCACACCAAATTCTGCTCAGCCTGGAGGACTGATAGCATCAGCATTGGGGCTTACTGCAATTTCACTGCAAGACTCCACCTGCCTGTTTGTTGTTTCCACCAGAGACCAGGAAAAGGCAACAGGAGCAGACGGGAATCAGGTTTCTCACAGAGGATAATTACCAAAAACAAACAACTGTCACCACAGGTGAGCTGTGTTCAAGGTATTCAGCGAGGTCAAAGAGGCTTGTGACTTGATGGAATTTTCCAGAAGCTCTCAGTCAAGCCAAGCCAGCACAGGATAGATCCTCCTTTTTCTCTGAAAGGATCATTGTCCTTTTGATTACAATGTTGACTGTGAACTCCTTAGGGGCTGGGGACCAAGCCTTGTTCACATGTGTGTCTTCTGAGCCTGAAACTCAGCATGACCCAAGTAGACAATAAATGTTCACACTTGGAGACCGAGCCCCACCAGTTAGGTACGAGATGCCCATTTACGCTGCCTATGAATCCAAATTTCCTAGTTGAGTTTGGCTATGTCGTGAGCTCAAGGACGAAAGCCTAGTACAACAAATATAAATGTTTCAGGAAAGTTTATCAAGTGTGGCCAATAGAAGCTATTTTGAAAACAGAATGTTTCTTGAGAGGTCACTCCTACGGTCACAGGAAAGAGGTGAAATTGTATACCAAGAATATGTGCTATTCATCAACAGGGTAGATGACGACAGCCTGGCTTTCTTCTGTTGCCCCATTTCACCCTGCAGGCAGAAAGAGTGCCACCTATAGGCCAAGGTGAGCTGTCTTAGATTCCTTCCTGTGGATATAGGGCCTCCTGGGCTTTTAAATAATTATCTCATCATTATTTAATTTTGTGTGTGTGATATCTGACCCTGTTATAAGTGCCTCGTGGGAAGCCTATTACTTTTGGACTGCACACACCAACCCTAAGCAGCTATGTGGGACACACAGCAAATGCTCTGCAGATCCTTCTGGAATGGAGGCATAGTTCAGAAGGCTGAGCCCAAGGCCAGCTTCATGGGCATTCAAGCCTTTGGAAGGAGTCAGGTTTGAACAAGGGGCCCTACATTTTATTTTTGCATTGAGCCCTGAAAATTATGTAGCCCAATCCTGATGGAGTGAGTTTCTCAGCCAAGACAGCCAAAGAGTTTTCTCTCTTAAAAGAGGAAGATTTGGACTACGGGAAGGGGGCTGCAGAATCAATGCCTTCTAGCTAAATGTCAGTAACTTTGCTTTTTTAAAGCAATTAACTTAAAAAAGAAATGCTGAGGTCTTAAACCTCTTTTAGGCCAGTGTGTCCTGTACCTACTAAGTCAGAAGGCTTCTCACAAAGCAAGCTATGAGTGACTGACTGTGAGCTCAGGGTATCTGGAAAATTCCTCAAGCACTGAGAAACACTCTCTTCCACGGTCTAATAAATTCAAGGCTACTCCACCAAGGGTTGTTGTTCTTTTTATCCCCTCTTTTTCTTTACCTCATTCCAAGGAAATTTGCCTCTAGCAAGAATGTACTTAAACCTAACAGATTATTTTGCAAGATGTGAGCAACTGAAAGGAGTTTGGCATCAGAATGCCATCTCCATTTTAATGGCCCCAGGCTCCTTCCTACTATACTTGAGGGCTAATCCAGGCACGGATCTTGCACTCCTCTAGGGGCCCACCTCACAGACCCCATGCTAAAAACACTGGGCCTCCTTAAGCCCCTCTTGGCTCTTGTTGCCTCCTCTGACAACTGCTTGGGTGGAGACAGAAGGCTGTGCAGTGGGGGAGGTACAAAGCTGGGCACCCGTCAGCCATTCTCCCCGAGAGCCCCTCTGTTCTGATGCCAACATGTGTGCAACAGCCCATGCAGACAGGACCCAGGACACCCCAGCTGGGCATCTAGATCCCCACAAGCGCCCACTGGCAGGCGAACTTTCCTGGCTTCAAAACAAATAAGCGGCAGTTTGGTCCTTGGCTGTGTCCCCTCTCTGTGCCTCCTAAGCTTAAGCCTTAGCTGTTGCTTAACTAGACAAACACTCCCAATTTGGCTGCTGGAGTAAAACTTGAGTTTCACTAAAAGGATCAAAGACAAGAGTAATGAAGTGATGTATGTTCTAAAAATCAGAGAGCTCCTTTCCTAGTGTTTTTGGGCAGGAAGGAGGCCAGAGAGGGGTGGAGACTTCATGATCAATAATGGCCTAATCAGCCATCAGATGGGCAGATGCAGAGAGATCCAACTGGCTGCATATGAAGGAAAACAGCCTGTTCCCAGGCCCTTGGCTCTGAAAAGTCAGTTTCCTGGCCGAGTCCTGGGCTGCACAGCAAATGGGCCCTTTAATTACTGATGGGGTTAGCTGGCCTCCAGGCAGCAAAGAATGGATCAGTTTTCCTAGGAAGTGGTTTGAAAGGACACCTGTTCCTTGCCTATTGGCTGGGGTGTTTGAGAAATTTGTTAGAAGAAAGTTTTTGCAATTTTAAGCCTCTCACCTTTCCTCACACCCCTCTTGCATCTTGCCTCTGTGCATTCTTCCCGCTACTTCATTAACTTGTCCACATTAATCAAATGCCAGTGGCCACTCTTGTTGTTTCTCAGTTCCCATGGGCCAAAAGTTCTGGTTTTCAGAGCCATCTCTGGGTTCACAGGCCCTCTTGTCACAGAACTTTGTGCTTTCTGAGAAAGGCTATAATATTTTAGGCTCCGTACAGAACCCTGGCTGGGTTCCTCCTCAAAAGCTCAAATTCCAAAGGGAAAATGTATCTTCTGATGTCTCATTGGCACGTACTCCAATGCCAAATGCATGTTACAGGGATTTATTCAAACACACATCATATAATGTGTTTCCTGTCACATTTAAAGGGTGCAAAGGACATATATGTTCTTGGCTATAGGGGAAAAAAGAAAGCAAATAAAAGACTTATAGATCCATGTGGTATGGCTGTCCGTACCAGGATCACATATGAAACTACAAATGGACAAATTTTATCTTGAGTCCCCGTGAACTTCTTTCTCACCACCTTCTGGTCTCCATCCTTCCTTTATTAATAAGAAGCAAAAGAAGAAGAAGAAAAGGAAGAGGAGGAGGAAGAGGAAGGGAAGAGGAGAAGGAGGAGGTGAAGAGGAAGAGGAGGAGGAAAAAGGAAAGAAGCAGCTCAGAAGATCTATGAATTAAGTTACATATTTAATAGATGATCATTCATTCTCAGCATAAAGTGTCAAATCTTAATTGTAGGCTTATCTCACAATTTTGGTTCTTACACGTTCAGTTATAGGGTGTACTGGATATTGGTTCAATGTCCCCAGTGTCATCCATAAACCTAACAATCCCTTTCAAGGTATTTCCTCATTCAGTCTTCTCCCTGTGTCCTCTCTTAGGCTGCAAATCAAAGCTCTATTTTGTTGAGGTAAAAAGTCAAATAATATGGCATCTTTGGCTGCATGTTGTAGGGACCCTCAATATCTCCATCTTGACAATTCTGGTCTTTTGGCCAAGCAGGTTCTTGCATATAGTCCTGTCTTACCCTCCTTCCATGTTCTCAAGGATTGTGAGACAAGCCTGCACTCATCTGCTGAAATTTGAATGGGACCCACCAGATTATGGGCACTGCATGGGGCTCATTTGGCCATGCTGCCAGGGTGGCTCGGCAGCCTCAAGGCCATGGGCAGGTTTCTGTGCTGATGGATAATTCTATTCCCCAGCCCTCATGGCCTCCAAGCCTTGAATTGTTCCTGTGGCAGCTTGTTATATCTATGCTGATGTTACAAAGCTCAGAAAAATTTGGCCTTAGTGGAGTGCAACCCAGTAGCATGCTGACCCTCTGGTTCTTCTCTGCACCTCAGCCTCTTTTGGAGAGATGGACCACATGCAGGGGAAGTCAAGCTTCTGAGAGATTTCTCAGGGTGAGCCCTGGCTGAAATTGGAAGGCCTTG